GGGATAAGCTTGGCACTTCGGCAAGCTTCTCAAAAGGAATTCTAGTTTTCTTGTTTGAAAAAGTCTTTGTTTCTTTCTTTCTCAATTTGCATTCATCTTTTCACTTGATATTCTTAAATATTCTCTTTGATTGTCACTTTAACTTGTCAAATAATCACTAATAATTGTAAATTTGTGTAAATCTCCTTTTTTGTTAAGTTGTTGTACAAATGGACCTAAAAGAATGAAATTAAGGTATACAGTACATGATCAACAAATCGAGAGGATTGTTCCCATTAAAAAAACTTGGTAGCAGCTTCAACAGAAGGATAGCCGAGCATCAGTATGAGTGTGCCCGCTTGTATCCCTCCTCGTACCAAACGACAACAGGCCCAGGGTATCAAACCGGTCCATATTCGTGAAGGGCCCCTAATCCATATTCGAAACATTGTGCCTTCGAACCCCTAGTCCAAAGCTGCAACTATATAAAGAGGGAGGACTCTAGAGCCAGGCCTCACTTTCACACATTTTCACTCTTTGTCAAATTCACATATTCATCGCATCGCATGCAACCATCATCTCCACCATAGCCATAGTTTCATATTGTACTCGTGGTCGACGAGTTTGTAAGACAGTTTAATCATTCATTTAACAGAACTTTTGCAATATCTCATATTCGCGATCTGATCGCGATATGTGAGTAGACCTCACAGGCTAAGGGTGGAGGCATGGCCTCACAGCCTACATACATGCTTCAGACGGATCCATGTTATGATTATATTTTATTTGTGCAACATTTAGTCGGTTCATCTCTTTTCAATCCTCGCACTCACATGTAATGACGCGCCGACAGACAAAGGAGAGGTAGATTGCAGGGGGGCTTAGAGAACTACAACGAAGACCGATGGCAATAAGGATTAGTAGGGCGCTTAGAGCCAAATTCTTAGGGATAAATATGGGAAAACTTTGTTTTTGCCACTCTAGATTTTGCCAATTTTGCTTATGCCACTCTAGAATTTGACATATCACTTTTGCCACTCTTAGCTTTTGACAATGTATCACTTTTGCCATTCCGTGGCAAAAGCAAAATTTTCATAGTGGCAATTGTGATACGTTGTCAAAAGCTAACAGTGGCAAAAGTGAAATGAAGAATTATCGTTTTTGCCATGGAATGGCATTTGTGATGTATTGTCAAAAGCTAGGAGTGGCAAAAGTGAGATGTCAAATTCAAGAGTGGCATAAGCAAAATTGGCAAAAGCTAGAGTGGCAAAAACAAAGGTTTTCCGATAAATATTGTAGTCAAAGAATGTTAGGGCGGTGGTCCGGTTCTCCGTAACCACCATGGTAACCCCACGAGGCAGGATATGATCAAGGTAGTACATCTTAATTCTCGATTCGGCGGCAGTCAGTCATGGTACCCCTTAGATGCATCGCCCACTTATCAGTTCACATGGTGCCTTATTTTATGTATCATACCACTGTTAGTTATCTATCCTATGATCCCATGCATGTCTACAATGTTGCATGTGAAACACTTTGCATTGCCATATTTTCTAGATATTGTATACAACTTTCTCCCATTTTTGTAGTAGCTTTGCGTTGTTAAGACTCTGAATATGATCCAGAAACAAAGAACGGTTGAGACGTGATGGACTTGCTAGACGTCAATTGCCAACTTTATACTCCACATTATTCGATAAACCTAGGGTCTCTGAGTAAAAAGGCATGATATTACAAGCATACTATCGAGGTAACCAATCATTATGGGAGCAACAAGTGTCCATGTTGATGACAAAGGCAACGATCCCCTCACTGCCAGAGTACTGAACACATGATTTTAGACTGGATTGTCTCTAAGCGTGAAGTGGTGGCAGTGAAAAAATACGATATAAATTCGAGGTGTGTTTATTGGAAATATATAGTTCAAAAGGATCAAATCGGTCGAATAGATGGGGGTGATTAAGCAACTATAATTTTTTTAACTTAATTGCCAAATTTAGGGTATTGTACATAAAGTAGGTTATCTAGATATGCAACTAGGTGAGAACAATCTATGTGGAAAGCAAGAAAACAACAAGGTATGCTCGGCAATGAACTAAATAACAAGGCAACAAGCATACAAAGTAAGTATAGGTGAGGGAAAAGATTAACCATGAGTGAGTGCAGGACACGAAATTTATCCTAAAGTTCACGCTCTTTGGTGTGCTAATCTTCATTGGAGAGGTGGCAAATCCAAAGCTCCAGGGTGCCATCAGGTGGCTCACCTTATTATCTCTTTAAATCACTTCCATCAGATGAGCATCAAATCATCTAAAATGTATCTATAATTTTTGCTTATTTCATGCCACAATTATATCACTTTGGCATATTGGCATCAATTTTTATCATTTTTCTGGAGTAACCTATTAATTTAGTGATCAGTATCAGTTGTTGTTTTTTTGTTTTTTTAGACTTTTCACGAAAATCAATTTTACCGAGCTTAGAAAACCCCCGGAAAATTTCAGAATTATTTTTAGTTGAGAAGCTTCTGTGTGTTGGGAAACGTAGCAGAAAACAAAAAAACACCTATGCACACCCAGGAACGATATGAAGATACATAACGGGTTGTGATCACGATTGTTACTGTCACCGAGTTGCAACACAAGAAGAACGTGTCGGTGTAGATCGTACTTGGAGTCCATCAAATAGTCGATGAACGCCCAAGAACCGCTCGTGAACAGTCCCTCGAACTGAAGACCGAAAGTACGGCCTCTTTACTTGGTTGCAAGCGTGCAACCTTCACGATCCGGTAGCGCTTCGCCATCCAGAGCTAATCGTCACCGGAGAATTATAGGGAGGAGATTAGAACCACACTGGGTTTCTAATTATAAGGATTAGAGGAACTAGACTAAGCTCTAATTAGTCAACTAGGACCAACTAGAACTAGGGCTAGATGGACTAGAGGAGCTCCAAGACTTGTGCATAGAAAAGGGCCAACACCTCATGTATATATAGGTTAGATGGGAGAGGGGCAGCCAAGAGGAGGGGAAGGACTCCCCTCCCCTTGCACCGACCAAAGGGGGAAGGGGAGTCCTTCCCCCACCCCAACTCGGCCTCCCCTTATGGGAAGGGGGCGCCTCCCCCTATTAGGCCTTGGTGGCCCAATTCCCCCTCCACCTAAAAGGCACATTGATATTTAGATTAATATAAAAGCCTTCTAATGATTATTAGACCTTTTATATATAATTTAACATCATCGAAAACATTTTTCACTTATATATTAATTATAGGGAATACTCGGTATTGGCCAATAAAATCTGAAACCCTTCTGGTGACCCCGAAACACTTCCAGATCCTCTCGAAACTATTTCAAATATTTATGAAACAATTCCACAAATATATTCTCATCACTCTCGTCCTTCTAAAACTCAGCGGATCATGACTTCCTTAAGCTCGTGACCCCGTAGGTTCAGTAACTCATGGACATGAACAAAACCCCTTCGTTCAATGACTGATAGCGGGACCGTGGACGTCCATATCGATCCCTATGAGCACATGAATGATATTCAAGTGAACCTCTGGTTATCATGTGATGTTCCCTTTGCTTCGCTATACTTCACAAAACCTGGGATGCACTAGTATCCTCCTGAGTCATCACATGCTCACTATACCATTATCCTCATTACCAGTTTTGTCCTTCTTTCTCGTTGTCGTGTTCTGGCATCCCCGTGATCTAGTCACCTATGTCTGGCCAGACGATGATGGATGTTGTCACACTGAGAGGGCCCTAAGAATATCTCTCCATCATTGGAGGAACAAATCCCACTCTCGAGCTATCTAGTCCCTTGTCAAACTTTCTGATGAACCTGTAAGTTGTCATTGTGATTACCATGTTACATGTGACGTTTGAGCAACCCCAAAGTCCACCGTATGGTAAGAAGTGACTATGATACTCTCATGGTCTAAGGAGCATAATCACTTGTTAACACTACGTGTTGTTACAATTGATGAGTCCAATTTATGTGATGATTTTGACAAGTATTTTATGCCTACAAGGTAGGCTTTGTGGAATTTTACTGCATTCGTGCTTCTCTTTGTGTTGATAATCTCCCAGGTAACATGTTTTGGACCAATCATCATATAATGGAGGGATTCCTCGGAAATGGTAGTGAAATCACGTAATTAATGTGATAATCACCTACCATAAAAGAATCAAGCAAGAAGGCCAAAGAAATAGGCGTCATCACACATCCAGAGCAAAAGACGGCTTTCCATATGACCGAGCCCGCCCATATGAGCAGTCCTATGGCCCGCCGCCGCTACTGCCAGATCAACTATTTTCACCCCGTCGAATCGGATCGTGGATCAGACATTCAGAGAGACCAGAAACTCATTGAGAAGGCAGAACCCTAGCCTCCGGAGTCCATTCGAGGGAGGGATTAGCAAGGAGAAGAAGGGGATCCTTCCCACCGCGTACGAAAGGGGGACAACATCATCACCACTATCATCATCCACTCCATCATCATCATCATCCACATCCTTATCATCTGCAACATCAAGAACCCTAGTGGATCCTTCGGTGTATCATTTGAA